GAAGCTTTAAATTGTCCCATATCGTACGTCGCAATAATATCGAATCGATTTAACGATGAAATATTCAAGCGCCCGGTATCCATTTTACGTACGGAGACGCGACGGCGTATATTTTACATATCCATCGAATTGAAAGCGGATATGCTCGCATTACTCTCGTACGCGTACCTATTTCAACCAGGGACACATATGTGTTCACACACGCATGTCACACACGTCCCACGTAACGCTTACACAAAGACGTATCAAGATGAAAGTCAAATTTGTCTTCCGACGGAAATGCCTTTTAAAAAGCGCACAGTATACGCATCTATCTGTCCTCGAGGTTTCTTTCATCTGCTGATTTCATGCCATTTGCTCTGTCCAAATCATGTAATGAATATAAATTGATCATAAATTTAAATGGAATCACCGTTGCGGTCGATATAGACGTCTTATAAGTCGTTTACTTGATATTCCACTTTATAAGTACTTGGTGGAAGCTGACAGCAGGGCTACTGTTGCATGAGATTACTCGCATTGAAATCGTGCTGCGAATACCGAGGAAATCAGTGTTTCAGTCAAACCACCAGCAGCCTGTCACGGTGTACACCAAACAGAGTGAATACGTAATAATCTTATCTCAATATAATCAATGTTTGGAACAAACTTTCTACCGGTTGTTTGCGAATGAATAATTACCTTCAGTTAACCGTAACTGTTAATTTCATTAGCGCAAACTGGTCGGTCGCGGGGCTAACTGTTTCCTCACTTCGAATTTCTTCGAGTGAGCATTAATTACGATAGTTCGTTGCTCGTCCGCTGCAACGAGCTACGAAGGCCGAAAACATAATCGCGCACGGAGATACTCGGCCGTTTCTCCGTATTGCCTCCCATTATTATTATACTATCCTCCGTTATATTATATTATTATTCTATTATTCTATTATTCTACGGCCGCCGTTTAACTAACGATAGGTAAAAGGTAAAAAGGGCTCGAAACTAGCTACGGCTGAAACGGCCGTGTTGAAATTAACATGGCAACCGTGGAACGTGGAGCGGGTTATTAAAGGGGCAAGAATGGTTAGCGCAAAAGAGCAGACAGCATGAAATCGTATAAAAATATTTTCCGGCTTATTTAAACAGCCTCGCCTGTTCCGTTCTGCTCTCGCGTTTTTCCACGGGAAAAGTATATCCTCGGAGGAACACGAGATCAACCCGGAAGCACCGTAATAACTGACAAAGTCCCGGCACCGTTAACGTTTACGATCTCGCTGCGAACTACATCACACGCTGCGCGCCGGGGCGATTCGGCGAAAAAATACTTGGAGAAAATTCGTGCAGTCTTCGTTATTCAACGGCGGAATACTGCATACCGAATCCCGGGGATAAACGGAACCGGAGGCGAGATTATCCGTGTGAATTTAAAAAATATAATGCAGAAGGAGCATCATCGCTCTAATTCCGAGGCGTGATACGCGAAAGAAGAAGAAACGTAATGCAATAATAGGAACCGTGTCACTTTACAAATTACATGATTTTATCACTGCTGCATATATCAACATATTTTACATTATCCTACACCTACATTAAGGATTTCAAGTAACGCATATATAATTGTCTATCTTTCTTTTCATAATTGAAATTTCTAAATATGAAAGAATTCACGATGGCAAGCAATTGTACGCGTATACTAGAGATCTAAAGAAAAAGTGGAGAAGATAGGCTGGCCGCGAGGTCAAGGAGGCAGTGACGTTTTTAATGTTGAAAGCTCGCGGGCTTTTGATCTCATTAGACGCTGTTGGAACGCGGCTCGTCGACGCGTTGCCCGGAGCCCGTCTGTTTCTTAACAATTTAAAGAAATTCCAGGTTCCGAATAACTGCGCCGTGCCGTCAGCTGCCTATCGGCTAAAGAGTTACGGTTAATGGAGAGGAAAATGAGGAGGGATCGAGGGCATCGCGACGTGAACGGGCGAAAAGAAGAGAACGGGTTGAAAGTGCAACCGTTTGAAGGCAAGCCCGTTCACCCGGAGCGGAGGAGCAAATTGAAAATCAGCTTGGCCGAATACTTGCCGAATAGTTCTCGCGGCCGGACGAGGGCGAAACTGCGTGAGATGCGACCCGATCGATCGCGTTTAGTCGACCGGAGGAAGAGGAACGAATCGCGCGTTCGTCCGAACCATCTTCGGAGGTGCGAAGCTTCCACGTGTTACATGGGAGTACAGGTTCGTTGGGAGTATAACGCAGCGTGGAGATAAGGGCGGTTTATGTTTCGAAAGTTAATCGAATGGATACTGAACGGGTCCGACCTGATGTTTATTTTTTAGGGTCAGATGAGTTGTCGAAGACTGGGGTTGTCTGTTCAAAGTTTACCCTCATCGTTCGTCCATTGGCTTTGTGCTATTTGAATAACCTGGCAATTTCACCATCATTGTTACATTTCACTTTAATTATACAATTTAATTTCTGATTGAAACAATTAATATTATTTAATTGTGGATTTTATGCATTTATTAGAAAATTAAATATGTAAAAAACACTCGTTCTCATTTTTAAAATGGATATCCAACAAGTTTTTGTTTACATAAAAACCTGTATTCTAAATGTTGTAGAGAAAAATCTTCTTTTAAGATAAACAAGATAATTTAAGAAATTAGACCATGTTTTGCTACAGAAGAAATAAGAAAAAATGTAAATACAATGGATCCTTTTATACATACAAATGAAAGGACACTCGAGAGTTTTTCAGGCAAAAGCTGCAATCTACTTCTATCGCAATTTTTATCACTGTTTTACATTTTAATCTTCAAACAACAGATTGCGTGTGCTAGGCATTGGATTAATTCTGATCCCGACATAAAAATTTCTTTTTAAGCTTATATTGCAAACAAGCTCTACGTTTCAAATTTCATTTTCAAACTTAACATGAATCCCTGACAAAAGAAAAATATTATATCTAGCTATGAATCTTAAAAATAAATCCAGTTGACTATATGTACATTACTTCTGATTCTATGATATTAATTACTTTTATTGGACAGGGTAATAGAGAAAATAGTGAATACGAAACATTACGCAAATAAAATATAAATCTTAGAGCACACGATATTTTAAAACGGTAATTCAAAACTCTACGTTCTTCTTTAATCTTTTGAGTTAAAAGGAACGTAAAAGAAATGTACGTACGTAAAACGATTACACTCAGGCGAACTATGAAAACGTAATACGATTATTTTCGCATTAACAAGATTCAAGCGTAGCTCGCGGAGAGGTAGTTGGTACCTAGGTTCCGACGAGTTAATCAGCGCAGAAAGCGCGAAAGAAAGTTGACCCGACGCGCGACGCTGGGCCGAGGCTTCGTCGCGGAACCCCAGCTAGAGTGGCCGGCGAAGTTCGCCAGATCGGAATGTAAAAAGTTATTCGATTAGCCCACTTTTGTCTACATTAATTATGATCCGATACTTTCGTGCTCTACGGCCGGCGATAGAACTTCTGCGTTAAGTGGATGAGAAAAGTTTCTCTAATACCGGCGAGAGAGGAGGAGGCTCGCCTAGGGGAAGAGAAAGGAGGGTACGGAGAGAGGAAGATGAGTGGAAGAGGATTGATCTACGGGCGAGCGCGTTGAAGAGATTAGCCGAAGACTGGGTCCCTGAGCGATTTTCATCGGACGATGATACTTGATGCAGATTAAAGGGATCCGTTTGATAACGTTCAACGAGGCCGATTCAGATAAGAACACCGGACCCTAGAAGTGTCGGGTGGTTCAGGAACTGTACGGCTGAGTCACTTATAAGCGCGATGTCCAGGAAATTAATACTTTAATTACTTTCCGGTAGTAAAATCGAAACGATGTACACTTACAGATTTTTGATAAGCACTTGACAACTTCTGCCAAGGACAAGGCATCAGATATAAACTACTTAGAGTAATTAGTTTCTGATTAGTTGACGTCAGCTTCACAATAGGATCCAATTAAACTTCAATTCAGAACATATCAGGCTCAAACTTCAGTATCATCGAGGTACACTAATAAGATACCGTGTCAAGTACGTACTACGCATACAAAGCAAATTCACATTATGAAGTTTAACCGCCCACATAGAACTAAAATCGTTTTAATTAAATATATATAGAAATGTATATGAAATGACATATCTTGAATATTTTTAGCGGAATCTACAGCTTGAAAGAATTAATGGATATTTTATTCAAACTTTATTATTATTTTTATCGTAACTAAATACGAAGTAATCAGAGTCCCCAGACGCTTTAGAAATAGCTTCTGGCGCGTTGCGTTTTTCCGTTCGTTGAACTTCTTATTGCGTCCGCGTTTTGCGCGAGGCGAAACCTTTGTCGATAAAAAGCGTCCCCGAGAGAGGTAAGAATATTCGACGAGGTTATCGAGGCGAGCGATATCTCGCGTAATCGAGACTTTCTGGCCCGGGCGGGTTGTCTAGCTCATTAAAATCTCGTTAGAAGAAGGCACATGAGAGGTTGGAAAGCGCGGTGGTTCCAACCTCTTCGAGGTCTCGGTGTGCACCGGGGTTTGTGTTCACCCGAAGCAGCATGTAAACTAACCCAATTATTCGCAAGATTACGCTCGTAAAGAAGTAATTTGTGATTAAAGTAACAGCAACGCAGCGTGTGCATAAACAAAAATTTACTGGGTGGTAATAAAAGAGTTCGCGCGATGAAAATGCATTTCCTTATCTTTTACGATCTTAACTGGGTGCATTATCAGTAGCTCATGATAAATTGAAGCAAAATTCAAATAAAGCAGCGTAGTAGAAAAGTTAGATATATCTTTAAAAATATCTAAATGTCTATAAATAACTTAGATTCTTATACTGCAATTTTTACAATTGTCATCTGATATACAAATTATAATGGAGAATGAAAAGTAGGAGACTGTGGATCGTATCAATTTGAATATATTAAGATATAAGCTCGCTTATAACATGAAACGCATTAATCATAGCGCGTAAATTCAAAGCAGGTAATTAATGCATTAAAACGCCTACCTGAGTTTTCACGTCACCGTCGACGATAACCTTTGACTGAAAGTTGCTCCGCTCTGTCAGGATCTTCGCGTTATTTATGTAAACCTCCTCGCCATGCGTGCTCGGCCTCCTGCTCACCCAAAGTGGTGGATTACCGTCCAATTCCGAAGAGACTGAGTCCCCAAGATTCTCGATTGTTCTCGGAAAGTTCGCTGAAACAAAGGAGAAAACGATCATTCTTTTACAGCTCTCATCTCGTATAACTCAGCACATAAATACATTCGTATATGTTAATTTGGTTCCAGCAAATACAAATAAATCCCTACGAGGGAAACTGCAAATAGATGAGCAGGAACTGATATCTGTGAAACGTAATCCATCAAACGCGTTTGCCTTTCTTTTTCATCGCCGAAACGGAAACATAAAAGAATCGTTCTCCCTCGAAATTTAACCGGGGACGCACGTCAACTGTGCGCAAGAATTTTATTCTCCGCCGCAACGAGCGCGCGAATCACGAGACAGCGCAACCGGCAGGGAAGCGGAGAAAAAAGAGCAGGAAGATCGGAAGAAAGAACCGGAAAAAGATGAAGCTTGAGCTGAAGGCAGAAAAGCGACGCAGCTAAAAAGTTCACCACGGTGCTACAAAGCTGGCCTCTTTATTATCTCGTTACCCGGCTAGAATGTCCTCGTAATCCCGAGGTTTTTCCAGCCGCTGCGCTGTCTGCCGTTGGAAACGCGATAGCGCGAATACCCGAGCGTTTCTGCATCCTACGGAGAAAAGTTCAATCTCCGTGTAAAAGTGGAAGTCTGAACCGACGCGATGGGGGAGCAACAACAATAGCGCCTCATTACGATTGCCAGAAATTGGGTCTTGTTCCTTTAAACTGTCAGCCGTTTTCTTTTCTGAAGCGTCGCGAAACGTTGGAGAACAGCATAACCCCCCACGGACAACAACAACGAGCGGCTATCACGGCTTAGAGAAATGCTTGTTTCCGAGGGAATCATTTTCTTTAACTGTCCGTCGCGCGCCGGGACGCGTTAAGAAAAGTGCGGACCTTCCCATGTCTTCGGCGATCGCCTGCGTTCGAAAACCGACAACAGATTCGACGAGTTCTTTCTTGAAACCGATGGACTCTCGTAGTTCTTGCCGTTCGATCACTAGCCGGCCGAACGTTTTTATCGACGCATCAGCGAAAATCTCGTTCCTGGTTGCCACCCTCTACGAGTCAGCGGGAGTGCCCGCCCGATTTTGCACTCGCCTTTATGCGAGGCGGCGTTCTTTCACCCGGCGATCGATGCCTTTTACGAGCCGTGATCGGGAACTTATCTGGAAATGACTCTTTCGGGTCCTGGGGATAGAGATCGATCTGCTCGAGATCGCATGCAAATATATCGGGTGATTGACGAGACGTTCTTAAAGTACCTGACATCTGGTGCTGCCGATACTCTAGTTCGAGTACATTTCACTTCCAGGCTATGATCCTGCGAAAGTTAGCCGATAAATGTTATCTATGTGAATTCGTATATTTCTTAACGTTAAAAGAGAAAATTGTAAATTGATTTCATGTCATTTTGTAGACTTTTGTAGTCAGACCAATTTCTTATCGAAGTACATATAAAAATTGAATTAGAGTTACCGGGGAAAATTCAATTAAAGTTGTACGTGTGTTCGAAGTAAAACACGAAGAGGAGGAGAAAGATCGCCGATACCGTAAAATTGCATCATGTATAGCGGATATAGGGTACGGACGAAAGCGGAGTCATTATTTATTCAGCGCGACGAATCGCATGTACGGGCGATCGAAAAATCTAGACAAATATGTTCCATTGAACGATCAATAGGTCTCCTGATCTCTGCATCGTTTTGTCCCAGACGTCCCTTTCAACGAAGGCGGATGATTAAGTCCTCGATCGAATCCCATTTATTTCCCGTCTCGAAACCCCTCGGGGGCACAGGTGCGATGCCCGACCACAAAACGAGAACACTCGTACAAAGCTGCTTGCGCAATCGATTTATATTCTCTCGCCGAAAACCCATCCCCGGTTCTTCTGCTTCCGTTAGCTATCCCGTAGCTGAAAGCCCGCCGAATCTGTTACGGAGCATCGGCTAACAAAGAAAATACGCGTTCTAGGATTACCGACGCGACGGTTTTTTCCTTTTACAAAAAACGCGCTGCCGTTTGCCAAAGTGTCAGGAGTGCTTGGCTTAGCGTCGACACGAAAAACTGGATCGTCCAGAACGTAAGCCGCACCCGGGACCAGGGATTCATTTTTCTGTACTGACGCGATTTCTACTAAACGTGTTTTCTGTTTTTATCCGGATTGGTTAAGGTACAAGAGATACGAATTACAGATACATGCAATTTCTTTTTTATACACGCCACCACTATACTCTTTCCAAAAGTACCTCATTAGGCGTAGAACCGACCAAATTAAACTCAACAGGAAATAGAATTAATTTGTGATTTTTTTTTATATCGGAACCCTATCGGAATGTAATAAGTAGTATGGGTTTACCGATCGCCTCGTAGAAGTGTTGAGGCATGTACCGAATAATCTAAATTTCGATGCGCGCTCGTTTACACGGCGTAGATATTCGAGTATATTGCAAAGCATAGGGAGCAGCACCTTGTTTGGACACTTCTTTAAATCAATTACAAGTTTCTGGCAGGCAAGTTCTCCGGGCAAGTAGCACGCTTCAACCTCCCTGGTTCCTAGTCGACCAGTTCCAGGAAAGTTCAACGAGCGCGCCCCGCCCTCGTACCTCCAAACACGGAAACGCGGCATCAAACTCTCGGTTTCCGGATTGTTTGCTCGGTCTCGACGAATTCAATCGGCGCATTTGCGATTCAGATGATGATCGCGGCAGCTTACGCTCGTGAAATTCGAATACCGCGTTTACCACCCCCGCCACCGTGCACGCCCGATTTTCAAAATTCCACACCCGCCTCTGGTTACAATTGCTACTGTCAATGCGTTGATTGTAAGTGTGCTGGTCATTCGCAGGACCAGCACGTTGATTCCAATTGTCCTTAATACAAGTACAATTGGGAATTCATTTAAGTATGCACGGTGTATCACGCATTGCTAACTGTGCCACTTGAATACTCAGAATGTTATAGCATTTAATAGTGGAAGCTGCGTAAACAAATGCAGTTCTTCCAATAATCACATTTATTTTATAGTACGATGCCAGTATCTAACAATTATACTTAAAAGAGTCAAACAATAATTGATAAAAATTAGTAGAGACTTATTTTTTGTCATTTCTGTGCCCAAATGCTATACATCAATCAATATTTTTGTAATGCTTGATGTGTAGTGAGTTATAGGAAATAAGTGAATAATTAATAAATTACAGATTTCTGTGCGAAATAAAACATTCATGGTATCAGTATTCAAAAAATGAATTGTATACTCGAACAGTTGAAACAATTGTTAGGATGAATTCTTAAAATATTGTCGCCACATTTCTGAACGAAAAGAAAATTATACTCTAAATCTTAGAATTGATTTAGCACTAAACACAGTATCAAATATATGACTTTTGTTGAGGCTGATAGCTAGCGCTCTCTAGGAGCGCCCGTGATACTAACTTGAGCGTCAGTTGCGATCAGATCGTGGTCGAGTGAGGTGATTGTTTTTGTCATAGTTGTCGGTTACTTGTTTTCGTGTTTTTATGTAATCTTCATTTGTTTTATTAACGTTATATGGCCTTAAGAATATTTCTTCACTAAAATGGACAACGTGTCGGTATCAAAGGTATAGTACACTTTATACCTGTTGCTTCTGCTTACATAACCTCGAAACGCAAACGCCGTGCTTTGCACACTTTATGGTCTATGTACAGCGACTGTACGAGATTAATTTAACGAGAGAATTTTAATGAATTTGAGATTGAAGCTCATTAGCTAGTAGAAGTAGTTAGTCATAGCATTAAATCCTGAAGCATGTTTACATATTACAGTTAATTAATATTTAACACTTCATTTTCCTTATAGTTTTATATAAATTTTATTCTTCACTGTTGTGAGGTCCTGAAAGTTTGAGAAGTTAATGCATGATGATAAATTAAACATTATTCATGAAATAAATAATTATTGAATATTATAAATAGTATTTACAAGTTTTTCGTATAACATTTTTAAGTTAATGTAAAGAATATGAAAAATAATTTTAGGGTGTTTTCGCGCATAAAGGAGCATATAAGATCGGGAATAGGCAAAAAAAATTCGAATCGGGAAATTATTTCAATGAACCATGGTATCTCGCATATGAAGAGACATGGACAAGTATTCAAAAAGCAACAGAGGTGATAAAATTGTTAACATACACACAATGTCACAATTATACCTCGTTAAATTAATTGGTTTTATTAAAATTTTAGGACATGAGATCCAACATGTTCCAACAAATTTTAGACGATTTAGAGTCTTTCGTTTCAAAAGTTAAAGAAAAGTCCATAGAACAGCTTGAAAATGAAATACAAACAGCAATATTATTAACAGGTGACTTAATCACAATTATTCAATGTTTGCTACTGTTTAAAGAAATGAATATAATTTTTTGAACGAATCTTATTGTAGGCGTGAACGTTCCCGATCATGCCATAATGTTTCAAAGAATAGTTTCTAAGCTGAAACCAGTAACAAAGCATACAGCTGTTATTTGGAGCAGAGATTGTAATAATATCAATGATATTACAGAGGAATCACTTTATCAATTGATGAATAATAAAAAGGTACTTTCAATAAACTTTAGCTAGTATTCGAAAAATATGTACAATTAAATCTGTACCTATTTTTAGGATGAGAAACCGTATATTAAAAAGAATCATTGTCACATGAGAGCGCTAAAATTATGGCACGAACAGCACTGTCAAACAAATGACCCTCTTGTTATCATGATAACTGATTTTGAAAGTTGTTCTCCCGCAGTACTACACGACTTCATTTTAACATTAAAGTACTGCGAGCTTTTGAATACATATATTATGATCTTACAGTATCATCGTTAATGTTGTATTTATTTTTAGTTCATATTCAAACACAATGAAATTTGTCCTAATTTTTGGTGTCGCGACCACCTTGCATGCTATTCATAGATCTTTAACGTATGACGTCACGTCGAAATTGAACGTCCGAGTAAGTTCTCTCAGTAAATTATCCTGAGTCGATGGAACGAGAAAATAGATTTCTACATGAATTTCTTATTCAGGTATTCCACATGCAAACACAGATCAATATTTTATCTCACGTATTAGAAAGAACTGTTTTTTGCACGAACATACCGTTCAAATTAACTGGACGCGCGTTTCAGTTGTTAACGGATATATTTTTGTTCTACGATTTCTCTGTAGAGAATTTTTTAGAAAGTTATAAGGTATCAATTTTTTTTTCTTTCTGATTTAGTTATTTCTTTTTTATACTTCGAACAGTTTTAAAATTATCGTAATTGTAGATATGTATGATACAACATTTTTACGCGAACAACGTGAACTCTCTTTGTTGTCAACCGCGAATGATAAAAGATAGAATATCGTCGTTAACGGAAGACGATTTGTCAGAAATAAAAAAATTGCCTTCTATAGAAAAATACATTCAACAGTTGAAAACAGAGAAGAACACAGATGATGTTATTAAAAGTAGTAAATGGAAGGTACGAAATTTTATATAAAGTTTAAGAATTATGAGAGTAGTTCTGATTCGGAGTTTATTTATTGTAGGAGATATTAACGCAATTGTTGCTTGAGTTTCATGAGTACATGGATCGATTCTTATTAACGCTCAGATGTTTACACGATCTTGTATCTACTCTGCCAAATGCGCCGATGGGTAAACAGGTATAAATTCGAGAGAAAAATTTATTTAGGCAATTAATAATCGTATCGCGTTTTGTGGACTGCTTCGTCATCGAACGTGGTTCAACTGTTTTAACAAACGATTTCAGCTTCGTGAATACTACACGAAAGCAGTTTACATGAACAATCTGAGAGAATCCCACGAGTACAAAGAATGCCTGCAGCTGTTGGGCTTTTTGTCCAAAACGGAACTGCTTTCGAAGTTGAATTCTCTCATAACAATTATCGAGGGTTCGAAAGACTCGGCTATGGTTGAAGTTAGAGAAAATCTAAGGGATCATATAAAAGTAATCGAAGTAGCTAGTTTTGAAGTAAAAGCAACTCCAATTGACGTCGTTTCTACTGGCGAGAAACTCAGTCGTCTTCAATTGAAAGAGGTCTGAAATGAAATTCACTGTATTTCAAGTTACACCTAAATTGATGAGAAAAAGAAATAACGAACTCGCAATATTTCGCTGTTTTTTATCCCGGGCCATAGAAACTCTTGAAAATGTCCCAGATGCAATCTCGGTCGCCTTACAAACAAGCACAGCACGATGTGATTAATTACTTGGATCAAAAGGTGTTTTCCGTATATTTGATCAATCCGAATCACGTACCGGCGAACGAAATATTTTGCTTCAGCGACGGTAATTTAGCGAAGCAACATATTCGAGGATCTCTGAGAGCTGCAATCCACACTGGACTGAATGATCCACACGTATATTTAAATGTAAGTAGAAAGAAAAATTGGGAGTGTTTTTGCCTATTCGGACGTGAATGAGAATTTTTGAAAAGGAATTAATCGTATCTATTTATTAAGTATTAAAAGAAGGTATATCATGTCATGTGCATCTTAATGCCGTTTTGCGTTAATAATAACAATAAAATGTACGTAATAGAACTGTGAAGTGAATTTAATTCCACGGAAATTCAACTTCCAATTCTATAATTACACGGAAACAATGCATCTCTTTCACTTGCTGATTCCTCGCAATTTATTTCCGATTTGAATGTAATCCACTACGAAGTGTTTGCAAGCCCCATTAAAATGGTTTCGCCGAGGAGTAGGTTCACCACTCTTCATTAATGATCGTTCCATCTGTTCACGCATCCGGCTTTTGACTCTTCCGGCGCGCCATCGATAGCGTTGTCGATCGGGGTATTGATTATAGATTTTTCCTGATGGGGAATGATGGGATCCGCGGCGATCTGTCCCGCGCAATGTCGTACTTAATTGGAAATACATATTTCAGTGCGGATGCTGCAAATTGGAGAACGACGACGCCATTCCGTCCACGCTGCCCGACCTCAGTATAATTTACAAGCTGCACTTGGAATCCAGGAAGCTGATCAATATGTACGACTGGCTACAGGTAACAATCCGTTCGTGTCCATGTTTACAGGTCAATCGTGGGTACACTTATGATCACGCACGCGTTCGTAACGTTTCGTGATTTTAATCGGTGCCGCGTGTGATTCACGCGACTACTGCAAATGGGGTGCGCGAGAATGGATGAGGGTTGTTGTATTTTCTTTCTGCGGTCGTTAAGGGTTCGGAAAATTACACGAAAAACAGTCCTATACGTGCCTGTATTTATTAAGCTTATCCCATAATGCGTGTAAAAGGATATGTTANNGTAGGAGATATTAACGCAATTGTTGCTTGAGTTTCATGAGTACATGGATCGATTCTTATTAACGCTCAGATGTTTACACGATCTTGTATCTACTCTGCCAAATGCGCCGATGGGTAAACAGGTATAAATTCGAGAGAAAAATTTATTTAGGCAATTAATAATCGTATCGCGTTTTGTGGACTGCTTCGTCATCGAACGTGGTTCAACTGTTTTAACAAACGATTTCAGCTTCGTGAATACTACACGAAAGCAGTTTACATGAACAATCTGAGAGAATCCCACGAGTACAAAGAATGCCTGCAGCTGTTGGGCTTTTTGTCCAAAACGGAACTGCTTTCGAAGTTGAATTCTCTCATAACAATTATCGAGGGTTCGAAAGACTCGGCTATGGTTGAAGTTAGAGAAAATCTAAGGGATCATATAAAAGTAATCGAAGTAGCTAGTTTTGAAGTAAAAGCAACTCCAATTGACGTCGTTTCTACTGGCGAGAAACTCAGTCGTCTTCAATTGAAAGAGGTCTGAAATGAAATTCACTGTATTTCAAGTTACACCTAAATTGATGAGAAAAAGAAATAACGAACTCGCAATATTTCGCTGTTTTTTATCCCGGGCCATAGAAACTCTTGAAAATGTCCCAGATGCAATCTCGGTCGCCTTACAAACAAGCACAGCACGATGTGATTAATTACTTGGATCAAAAGGTGTTTTCCGTATATTTGATCAATCCGAATCACGTACCGGCGAACGAAATATTTTGCTTCAGCGACGGTAATTTAGCGAAGCAACATATTCGAGGATCTCTGAGAGCTGCAATCCACACTGGACTGAATGATCCACACGTATATTTAAATGTAAGTAGAAAGAAAAATTGGGAGTGTTTTTGCCTATTCGGACGTGAATGAGAATTTTTGAAAAGGAATTAATCGTATCTATTTATTAAGTATTAAAAGAAGGTATATCATGTCATGTGCATCTTAATGCCGTTTTGCGTTAATAATAACAATAAAATGTACGTAATAGAACTGTGAAGTGAATTTAATTCCACGGAAATTCAACTTCCAATTCTATAATTACACGGAAACAATGCATCTCTTTCACTTGCTGATTCCTCGCAATTTATTTCCGATTTGAATGTAATCCACTACGAAGTGTTTGCAAGCCCCATTAAAATGGTTTCGCCGAGGAGTAGGTTCACCACTCTTCATTAATGATCGTTCCATCTGTTCACGCATCCGGCTTTTGACTCTTCCGGCGCGCCATCGATAGCGTTGTCGATCGGGGTATTGATTATAGATTTTTCCTGATGGGGAATGATGGGATCCGCGGCGATCTGTCCCGCGCAATGTCGTACTTAATTGGAAATACATATTTCAGTGCGGATGCTGCAAATTGGAGAACGACGACGCCATTCCGTCCACGCTGCCCGACCTCAGTATAATTTACAAGCTGCACTTGGAATCCAGGAAGCTGATCAATATGTACGACTGGCTACAGGTAACAATCCGTTCGTGTCCATGTTTACAGGTCAATCGTGGGTACACTTATGATCACGCACGCGTTCGTAACGTTTCGTGATTTTAATCGGTGCCGCGTGTGATTCACGCGACTACTGCAAATGGGGTGCGCGAGAATGGATGAGGGTTGTTGTATTTTCTTTCTGCGGTCGTTAAGGGTTCGGAAAATTACACGAAAAACAGTCCTATACGTGCCTGTATTTATTAAGCTTATCCCATAATGCGTGTAAAAGGATATGTTACGTGTCATTCAATAATTTTTAGTTTCTAACAGAAATTCTACTAATTTTAACGGTTTACGAATTTTAGGTAATAAATTTATAGTAGCGTGTTTCAATACATATTTCGATGGTTCGATATATTCGGTCGTCGTGCGATCTTAAATCAATGTCGTAACAAAAATTCACGTGCTTGTTTATTTATGCTTACCTGCCGATACAATTTATAACGTAGCATCAGGACAGGAAAAGCAAAAAATATACATTTTCGTTTTACATCGTGATTTATGGAATTTATGAAACTGAATATTTTTCGGAATATTTTAACAGTACTGATAAATCTTTAATTAAAACAACAGTGCATGGTGGATAAAAACCAAGGCGCAGTTCACTCTCTTTTTATATTTCTGTCTCATAATAAATTTAAAATATGTGTCTGTATCTATGCATACTTTTGTTTCGCCTAATCCTCAAAGGGAGCATTACGTTTCTTTATGCGAAGAAATTACATCGTGAAAATGGTGAGATGTGAATGAAAAAGAGAGGAGTTCGCTAGAAATCCATTTTTACGGACGTTGACCGCAATCCGTAAGGTGTTGGGCCACATTCACGTGAAAGAGCGAGCTTTTAATGGGTCAACGCGGGTTCCGTTTGCTTTCAAGATATAGCTTTTAACGCTAAAAGTACTCAATTTACGCCACGTGCATTTCTTTCACATTTTTAATTTATTCCAATCTTTCTTGTAATTGTATATTTCTTTCTTGTAATATGTCTCTAATAATGTTATAAGTACTTATTTTCAAAATGCATAGATTATTTTTTAATACTTATTTTGTATACGGTAACTCAGTAAAAACTTCAGATAACATTTTTGCTTAGCCTAATATCTTTTGAAAAATCAGTTGCAAAGATCGGAAATACTTTTGCTTTAAAAGCCACTATATTCTTTCAGGCGTTTTTAATTATCATCGATCCAGAAAACGATGCCAAGGAACAGCGGAACGTTGATCCGAAATTGCAGTATCCTTTTTCATTTAGAGATCTTCCCGGGTCTGGGTGTAATGGGGCGTGTAAAGATTTGTCCAACCACTTTTCGTTTGAAATTCATACCGCAGCCCCGTAATGGTGAAAATCGTGGCTCCGTGGCAGTCGAGGTACCGTGGTTACTTCGTAGCCGTGGCGGCATCGCGTGCCTCTTGTTTGAATAATTCACACGTCCACGTGTTCCCGTGCGAGTTTTATCGTGCGTCATAGTATTATCCTTAACAGAGATTCAGAGCCCGTTTTACGCAAGCAGTCGCCGAACTGGAGTTCCTAGGTTTCATCAAGAGTTCACGAAAAAAGACGGACCACGTGAAACGGCTTACCTAGTTCGCTTTATTTCTTTAGTTTTCGTAACAAATATCATTTTAATGTTTGAAGTTAAAAATTAAGTTTCAAGCGTGTTAAGGAATGTTAGAAATAACTTTTTTCATATGTAAGTTTTTTATTTTTATACGTGTGTTTGAATAAAAAATGAAATGAAAAGTATGTTATGCTTTCTTTTTGCACCGAATGTCCTATAACGCAGCGTGCGGAATTTTCCGGACGGGGTGTTTCCCTTTGAAGAGGGAAAGTCAAGATAGAATTTAGATAGTACAAAATTATGGCGTGGTGGAAAGGAAACGTAGAAGTACGGTCGAGAAACATTCTTATTTATGAGGATAATTACGATGATTAGAGATAATATCGTTACTTTTCCCTGTTCTAAGTGTCGTTAAACAACCCAACGTCTGATAACACCTAAGCCATTATTATAAGTTACTCTGGAGAACTTTAAAGGCTAATGATTCTTCGTAAATTCTAATTTTTCTGTAACAAATTGAATATATGATGTAATGTTGAAAATAATTTACACGCGCGCTCAGGCTACAATACGTTGACAAAATCTTTTGTAAAGTTTTGTGTTATTAACTGTTATTTTGAAATATTGTCAAATTATAGCTAAGTGCTACAATTTTTTAATATAAACTCGTCAATAATCTATGCAATTTTCTCGTAGGTCCAGCGGTTTAAAAGTATTTTAGAAAAAACGAAATTTTTTGCGAAAAGTTTACTGATTCGACTGTGGAACGACTGGATTTTGTCAGTACCCATAAGATGAGATTTTAGTGACATACTAAATAAAATTAATTTCTAATTGATTATTTAACTGTAGTAATGTGTATTAAAATTCTGTTAATTGCACGCACTTAGTACGTATTATTGTCTATCAAATTCGCGTCTTGTTTCGACTTTTACTACAGTATTTGTATTGAACCATACACACCTATTCACGGGCTCTCAACGAACTAATAACAAAATCCATCTTTCAGCGAACAATGGGTACTTGAACAAGTTTACCGAGCGCCAGACGACACACGTGATGAAATGCAATTTAATCAACGAACTAGGAAAATCCACTCAATGGCATTTGCAATTTTAATTTTACGTGCAAATTGCAAAAGTTGCCAGGTCAACTTTCCGTACACGGAGCCAGTTTCGTATGATCGAGGCAAGAAGAGTTTGCGAAACAGCTGTAGGCATAATAAAGTATGTATTGTACACTCGATACTGTACCGAGGTTTCTATCTTTCGTTTCGTCAACAACGGAACTTCATTATCGACGTTTCGCGCGTGTGTGAACGTGTCCCGCGCTGCGAGTTGAACGCACCTAGGCAAACAGAATTCTACAAACGACAGGTGTCTGATGCAGATAAACCGCGGAAGGGTAAATTTGTGAAGCAAGCAAAATTTAATTCGCTATTCGATGCATGGACGTACGCGTACCGCGGCCATCTATCATACGCGGGGCTAGCGAAGAGAACGAAGCAGCTTATCTGCGCCGTTGCGCCGCTTTTGACACATTCCTTACCGATCCGCCTGCCTTCGAACCGTGTATGAGCTCGGGACATGATTGGCACAACGATAATCGACATGATCGATATTGAAGATTTCCGCCAATTTAGCGTGGTTACACGCTCGCAGCTGTGGCCGCTGCATAATTGTTTCGATACGATCGCGGATGCTGAATTCATTTCCGGACGACTGCCCTCATTCTAATCATCGATCTCGGCTTATGTGTTACATTTCAAAGTAGTTGTTAATTGCAAAAATTCTTTTCATTTACGATAATAATAGTGATCAGGAAAAAAGAGTTTTGAAACCGTTTGTATAATATGAGAAATTCCGTGAAATAGGGCAAAGGTATTCTGTCATTTATGATTGGTAATTGAAACTGAAGATGTTTAGTTTGCGCACGAATAATACAGGTGTTCCATGTATTTTCTTGATTCAATTTTAGCATTAATCTGATATTAAAGTCTTTTCAGACTTTCAGTATGTTTCGTCCGAAAGGTAGTTTAAAGTAAAGTTCAATAATTTAAGATAGTATACAAATTTGATTAGCCGCCTTTAGGAACTCGAATAAAATTTTATAGTATTAAAGATTTTCGAATTGTAAAACGGGCGACGATACAAAATGCAACGCTTCAACTTCGTACCGCGTTTAGATCGATGACCCTATTCAACTCGGTCGGAAATCACTGCGAGAACCGTTTCATCTACGGAATAATTTAACTTCCTGCCTGCATATTGATGGCGTATGTCGCTAATTTGCATACGGCTGTACCGGCCATGATACGAATTTCAACGATTCTGTCCGAATTTCGCTTGTCTTTTCCATCCCGATCCTTTTCCTTTACCGGATTTTCTCTCTTTTTTTCAATCCCGCATAGAGATGGACCTTAAATGCTGGAAGGGCCGGAAACGCCGGTCACTTTTAAATTGATGAAAGCGACCACGGAAAAAAAGACGGGAAACGGTCGCGATCGTTCGCGCATTTTAACCGGGCGCCGACGGATCGATTATCGAGGAGAATTAATTAAATTCCCCCAGCGAACTTTCTTTCGTCTGATGTGTTACGTTTAGCAGAAGTTAGCTTCCATAAAACAGAGATAGTGATCCGAATCGGGCCATTCTCAACTTCACGTTTTATTTCATTAAAAACGTTAAATTCTCAAATCTGCATTTATTAACATTTTAATTTACGTCATGACGTATTAATTTATTAACGTATTTTAATGACGTATTAACGAACAGATTTTACAAATATAAGTACATAGAAAAAGGAAATTAGAAAAATGTAATCTAGATTAATACATAGTTTGTCAAGTAAATTGATATCTTTTTTAAAAATTCCAGACAGAATAAGAGGAAAGTAAACGCAGTGAAAATGTGATGAAGCAGTTAATTCTTCCCTCTTATATACTTTTCATGTCACTACCTACGCTATGCTATCGTGGTTTAATTAAACGAAGGCACGTGTCGTGGAACGAATTACGGAGTTCCTTGATTGACGTTGATTTCGTTGTCTGAACGAGAAGAAACATAAAAAGTAGTATCTTCTTCTCCTTCGTAATTAAAACGTCTACGCTCATAACAAGACGTCCGACGGTCATTATCTCTCTAGTATCAGTTTGCAGGCTATCTCGTAACGTCAAAGAAGGTAATTTTTAATATCATAGAATTTCACGCTTGAGGAACAGATAATAAATAATTCTGATGATAGATGATAGATAGTTTAATAAATAGTTTGGTATTACGAAATTGTATAATAAAAACGTAATCGATAGAAAAGTACATAGAAATTGTAATTTAAACTCCACTCAATTGATAAAGGAAATCTACACGGAAAAAATCGTTATTTAATTCATCCCTCAATCTATTTCGGGGATGCAGGCTTCCAAAATTTAGTCGCAACTTTTGTTGTTACTGACAAAGGTCATTGACATAGTTACATGTATCAGTTGGGCGAATCGATCAATGTGCGAGATCGATGATACATTCGATCATTCACACGACAATATCTCCGGAACCGGAAGTCGGATCGAGATGAAACAAACGGTTTTTTAAAGAGGAGGCTTTTCAGTTTCGAACATCGGAAAAATCATTATGTATATTACAAAATTATGGACTGTCAAATTCCTTTCTTTTTCGTCTGAATGGAATTCTAAGTACTCTATTATATTGACCAAACAAAGCAGATGATAACAAATGTAAATGAAACTGACGATGCGACGTAAGATCTTGAAAGAGTTTGAGAATTCGTGGTATTGAAGGTCTGTCACACAAATGAACTGGACCTCTAACGCAGGAAAAGTCGGCGCGACGCGACGACGTGTCGGTCTCACCGAGTCAAAATGCGACAAGTCGCAAGAAAGTTCGGTCATGCAAAAAGTGCTGGCAAGCGATTTGCTCGTTTTACCGGTTGATTCAATCTCCGTCGACTACCGCGCGCGGCGATCGATCCTTACGCCCATACGTTCGAGACCGGGCATCCATCGGGCAAGAAAAGTCTATGGAAAGGGTTCCCTTTTCGAACTCGAACACGGTCGCGCTTGAAACGGAATCAGTTTTCGAGTTCGGGGAGTCGTCTAACCTACTCCAGGCCAGTCGCTATTCGTGCTCAATCGCCGCGACCCCGATATCCTTTCGCCATTCTGCCCTTAACTCGGCCGTATCATCGGCTAGAATCTACTTCGTGCCATGGCTCGACTCGATCCTTTATTCTAGTCACCGACTATGAACTTGGAATATATATCTTTTTACATATAAAGGCAAATATCTTCGCGGCAATCGCCGCGAATATCAAGCAGCCTCGTAAATTATTAATGGCATACGCTTAGCCCCGTGCGGAAACTTGCAGCGGTCACGTTTCAAACTTTTCATGAACTGTTCTCCGTTCTTTCTGATCGGCCAACTTGAAATGGGAAGAACGTAAAGCGATACAGAACAAGAGATAGATCTTGCTTTATCAGTCCACAAAAACTTACGTTAATAAGAATCTTGATTTTATAATAATAAATTATGTGATATCCTGACTTTGTGTAATAAAGTGTGCATCGTACGTTTCAATGGAATTTAGACTGCCTGTACCAGTGCTGATATAATTCCGAATGACCGCAAAGTGTTTTTGTTATCTGCAGTTTAAAATTAACGCCCCGTGTACTTGCGGGCTGGTTTCGTGGGCAAATGAACGGACACCGGTGGTTCCGATTCCAGCGATGAGCACCATCCGGAGATGTGCACAATTAGCAATTATAATTGTGCGACGACTAATTGGTAAACAGTACTTATAACAGTGGACGTGTATCGATTAGTAGCTAGGGAATCGACTGCTTGTAATAATTGTCAACTGAACGAGTCGAATCACAGTCGAGTGGCATTTGTTTGTTAATCCTACCTATCAGTTTGTATC